AGTGTTCACATTCCACTCAGTCTTTTACAGGACCAAGAACGGAGAATTAGTCAGCTGTTCTTTGTTTTTATTTCCCTGACTCTTGAACAGGATCCAGGCTTGCTCCTGAGGTTTTTCATCTGGATTGATCTGAATAAAACAGATTTTTCTTGCAACTGAAACCCCTTTATTTGTAAAAGGTTATGATAACCAGAAGAAGCCAAGCTCCCCCAGTTTTTGTTTGCGATGGGCAGTGGAACCGGCTTCCTGCGGTCGTGTTCACATTAAAGSAGGTTCATAGGGCATTTATATAAAAACAAACCAAAAAATGAAAGCTATCATGTTTGTGCCTTAGTGGAGCATGCCAGGACGCTGTTGCTAAGATGATGCATGCTGATTCTGGCATAAATAGTGATTTGAGCAGACCCTACCCTAAGGAGTTGAGTCCCAATCCTTTCTCCCCTGTATAGGAACAAATCAATTATTCTAAGGAGGCGGTGTTGTCTCTCGGTGCTGTTGTGTTGCTTTTTGAAAACGTTTTGTAAGTTAGTCCTTAAGTGGGATAATTGCTTTCAGCATTTGCAAGTTAAATGAAGAAAGCTCTAATTAGATTTTATAAAGTGGCTTAGCATGTTGAGAAGGCTTTTCATAAAGTATACTGTGTATTCACTTGGCGTTGCACAATTGAATTTCGTGTAGCACTGACGAAATCTAAAAATCCTATTTGGCCCTGGGTGCTTAAAGGATTGAAAGCCTGTCTTAAGTGCTCCTGGCCATACAGACTCTCTTCCTTTCCCCACCATCCCACCCTCACTGGGGCGTTTATCTGTGTTGTAGAGACCGGAGATGTTGCGTCAACACCAACCTGTTTGAGGAAGAGTCTTAGAGCTAGGCATAAAGCTTGGTATTTTGTAGCACTTCCAAAMAGGGCCCTGCACATGCTGTTTAATCTGTTTTAGTTGTTTTTGTGCTGTGCTGATTCTGTGGTGGGGCTGGGTGGCACAGAGCCACTTTGTTCAGGTCAGTCCTGGCTCTCTGCAGGAACTTAYTGAGTCCCACACAAACCCAACAGCACCCGTGTTTAGTAATTTTTGGTATTGTTTGGTGTCCTGTAGGTTAGAAATGTGATATGCTAATGCTTTCCTCTTGCCATCACAGCCTTGGCAGCAGCTGAGGCGCTGGCCAAAGCAGCCTGACACGCTGCTTGCCATCTGAATAAGGACTTAGCCCAGTCACAAGCCCCTTTCACGTGTGATTTCTGCAGTGTGTGTGCCAGGAGCTTCTTGATGAGAATTGGAAGGAGTCCCCAGAGTCGGTGTTTGTTCAGATCATTTGGGTGCTGTTGCTGGAGGTGACTTTTAGAGTCTGTTTTATGGAAGATGTGCTCTGGGAAGTAACACCTCTGCTGCTTTGGTCGGTCAGGCCGTGAAGCTTCATCTGCAGAAATGTGGATTGCGTTTGTAACAACTTTGAGGAAACCAGATGTAAAGTATTTAATCACAGTCATAGAACAGTCTGAGCTGGGGGAGACTTCAAAGGCCTTCCTCTAGTTTTACCCTCCTCCCATGACCAAAGACACTTTCCAATAGGCCAGGCTGTTGAGGACCCTATCCAGCTTGACCTTGAATACTTCCAGGGCTGAGGGGCCTTGCAGTTTGTTATGAGTTCAGGTAACCACAGAAGCAACTGGTTAAAACTCTGACTTGGTGAGAGGCCCTGAATCTGAAGAAGGGTGTAGAGACATCTAGTAAGATCCATTCAGCTTGGGATGTTAACTCATGGATCAAAACCAGCCTGCATCCTGGCAGGAGTCAGAGGTTGTTCTTTTGCCCTCCAGCCACGCTTGATCTCTTCAACCTTGGATTAGAGTCRTCTCTGTCATGGTCAATTTTTCTCACTTTTTGCTTTTAAAGGGTCAAGTTCTTTGAACACTTGTGGAATCAACAAACTTTCGTGTTTGAATTTACTGGATTGCTGTGTCCATGACAAGTTGTGGCAGTGTGTTCTTTGTGTGAACAACAGGCTGGTGTTGTAACCACATGGAGCACACGGCTTTGGATGAGCATTCGCAGCCTCCCACGGCCACTTGATTCATCACATGTGCCTTGAAGCGTTTTACTCGTTTGGACTGTCTTTGTAAATGGACTTTGTGTCCCCCTTTGAAGTACATACAAACTGCAAGAACTGCCGTGGTCAAGCTGAACTCAGAAGTGGACACAGATTTARACCTTTTCCCTTTTCTGCCTCAAATGTCAAACCAGCGTGTACCRCTGTTAATGGAGTTATTTACTCATCTTGGTAAACATGTAGGCTAAGGAGGAAACTTTGGCAGGTTCCATGTGATCTTGTGAGTAGTGTGCAGGCAGAACTCCAGTTTTCTTTGAGAACAGATTTAGAAYTGGATGAAGTTTCCTGTGTTACAAGAGATAGTTCATGCTATGGCAGGCTATGCAACTTGGTGGAGCTGAAGTTCTTGAATGAAGGTGAGGTGATGGAGATCCTGTGTCTGTAGAGATTAAATGTTAAAGTTAATACCTTAAGAGTTTTTTATAAAAGTGGATATGGCCAGGATGTAATTGAAGAAAAAATAAGGTGTTGTTCCTGACCTGTTTTCTCATTTTAAAATAGCCTTAGAAAATTTGTATGTTGTATATTTTTAGTGTAGCAGCTGTGTTGTTGATGCCAATAGCTTGAAAGTGAGTATTGAATTGTGAAGTGTTTCATCCTTGTATCTGTGCTCTGACAAATTTTGGTTGATGGTGCTGTTCACGGCAAGGCAGGTGTAGAAATGGCTRCATTGGAGTTTTACTCTTGAAAGGGCCAAAGATGTTTGAACAAGTTTGGGAGGATTTACTTCAGTCCACATAGAGGTGAGGAAGTGGGGTATGATTCTTAAGTTGTTTCAGTTCAATTAAAAAACTTCAGTTACCTGCCAGAGTGGAGGCTCAGAAGGCACAGGTGGGTCCTCACATCTCATCTCCAGGGCATCTATGCCAAGGCAAATATGTGCCTGTTGTGCCATATCCTTCAGTGCCCCAGCTCAATGCCTTGGGATGGACTTTGCACACTGGGGTGATTTATTTGTGAATCAGGGGCAGCCTTTGTGAATGCAGAGTGCTGTTTCTCATGCAGAGGAGCTCCCCAGCGTATTTGGAACAGGGTCCTCTGCAAGATACTGTTTTTGTATTTTCTAGGAACAAATTAAATTATGTTGTTGCGTTCTGTGTCATCTTCTTCAATGTGACCAAAGGCAATCAATGAGCTTTTGCTGCATTTCAGGATTTTATGCTAATATTTCACTGCTATCAGTACTTTTTTCTTTTTTTTTCAGAAAAGAAAATTATCTTAATTACCATGAAGTAACTAATCCTCAAAGCTGTAATCATTGCCGACATAATGCTTCATATTTACAAAATATGAACAATTCACTTCACCTCTTCACATGTTTTTTTGAGTTACTGTAAACAGTTTCCTGGAACCATTGCTTAATCAAGAAATTGAATTCTGTAATGTAAATAGTAAAGGCTTTTGACAACAAAGCTGTAATGCTTCCTTTCTTGTTTTATCCAATTTAGTGATGTGCATCCYATTAGTGTACTTTAAATTTCAGTAGAATTTTAGTAAAATAGTGCCATTCCAAAGATATTTTTCATATGGCAGTACTTGGGAGCATATGGAGCAAATACTGTATTGATAATTTGGTGTGATATGGCTGCTCTTCTTTAGCTATAAGTCTTCAATAATGATTTTGATGATTTGCTACATTTTTGCCTTCTTGCCTGATCTTTATTTTTTCAGTAGTTTTTAAAATATATTTTGATATGGAATCCCAGAATGATTTGGGTTGAAAGGGACCTTAGAGATCATCCAGTCCCACCCCCTGCCATGGGCAGGGACACYTTCCASTGTCCCAGGGTGCTCCWAGCCCTGTCCAGCCTGGCCTTGGGCACTTCCAGGGATCCAGTGGCAACCACAGCTTCTCTGGGCACCCTGTGCCAGGGCRTCAGCACCCTTACAGGAAAGAATATCTAATTTAAACCTGCCCTCTGGCAGTTGRAAGCCATTCCCTGTGTCCTGTCACCAGCTGAGTCAAAATAAACTGTTGAACTGATCTATACTCATAATGCCATGTTTTCCTTTTGTCTGATATTTGGCACRTAAGGCTTTGCAAACCTTGGGTTTCTGGTGTTTAGGAGTACCAGAATGTCACTCTCATGCTTCAAGAAAAGTGTATGGAAGCCCTTAAAATAAGATTTGGTAAGCAGAAAGGAAACTGCCCAGGACTGTGTATCATCCTATCATAATGTCATTGAATAAATTACTTCATGATTTAACTTGAGCACTCCTGGATGGATGAAGCCCATAATTATTTGACATGGGGCACTCTGTGTGTTTCTCTTGAAGATCATAACTCAAGGCAATTTTGCTTACCGTGGGAAACTGTCTTTTAGATGGAGGCTGGGAGGGCCATATCTATTTGTGAAGGACAGGGAGTGCTTTTGTTACCTTCCCAGAGCCATTACGGGATATGATTGCTTGGGGGAGTGTCTGCTTATGATCTGTTAGAAAACAGCCTATTAATAAAACAGAGACTCTTGTAATAGAGCACTTCTTAATCTTCTTCCTGTGTAGTTATTTATAGGCTGTGACATCTTAATTTGCCTCTCATGTGCATCGACTTCTGTTATTTTGAAAGATCAAGTAGTTTTCACACGCCTCTGAGAATCACTTCTGGGAGAAACTGTCTGTTTTCTAAGGAATCTGACAAAAAAGGTTCAAATCATAAGTTTGTTGTGACAAATGCATTAAGGTTTTTGCTGCTGTCTTTCTAAAGGACAGAAGTTACGTGATGTGCTCTTGTAGTTACTTCTATATTGATCCTGTATCTGATTATAAGCAGATTTTCCTGAATTCCCCAAGGATTTCTAGCTGCTGATAACACTTCTTTTCCYTTGGYGACCTACCTGRAGCRATATTCAATCCATTATTCTCTTTATTTTTGTGGTCCTTTCCTTTCTCAGAGCGGTCCCAGTGCCAGGTCCTGTCACAAGATGTGCATTGACATCCAGCGGCGGCAGATCTACACTCTGGGGCGGTACCTGGATTCCTCTGTGAGGAACAGCAAGTCCCTGAAAAGTGACTTCTATCGCTACGACATCGACACCAACACCTGGATGTTGCTGAGTGAGGACACTGCAGCAGATGGAGGCCCCAAGCTGGTGTTTGATCATCAGGTCAGCCAAACTCATCCTCCTACTGCAAGTTTTCAGTGTTTAAAAGTCAGTTTTGATTGTATTCTCTGTGATTTAGAGGTGCTGTACCAGGAGCAGGGATGAGGAGGGTGTGAGCATTCAATTAAATCCTAATAGCATTGCTGCTCAACGCCACTGGCTGCTGTTGTTCTAATCAAACTGAGTCAGAAGAATCRTAAAAACCTTTGCAAACAAATGCATTTTATTAAGACACGTTTTATTAAAGCTCAAAGCACAGTTCATCTGGTTTTAATCAGTCTYCTCGAGCTGGGTTTGCAGATCTGCCTCCTTGGAGGGCCTTGGGGAGCCACTTGCAAAGCTTTGTATGGTACCTTTGGAAGAATACTCGGAGCAARCTGCTGGAATGAGGCCAAACCAGAAGCGGGATTCTTTCCAAATTGGTTACCTTWAAAATTTGTAAAAATGTGCTTACTTTGTAGAGCTTGAAATACCTTAGAGGAATGGCYACTAATCCTTTAAAAAGTCACATCTATCCACGTGTTCAAATTGAAAACTTCTTTACTTATGTTGTGTTCAATGGCTTTTGTCTATTTGAAAAAGGTATTTTGTTCTCAATTGATTTTTTTATGAAGCACTGCCAAGGAGCAGCACATCAAGACTCATTTTTAAAGCAGCCCAAGATCTGCCTTTATTGGTACTGGCTGTTTTGTAACCAAAGTTGTTGTTTGCCAGCACATTGTGCCTTTCTGCTGACACYGAAAATTAAAGATACGCCATGTCTGCAGAACAAAAGCCAATCAGTCTTTCTGTTCTATTAATAACCAGTGCCAGTCTCCCAGGTGTAGGGGAAGAGGCACAAGGAAATTGTCAGCTGGCAAGGCTACTCTGGCTACCTTGTTTGCCTCTTGAAATGATTCCTTTCTTCYCTGTGCTGTCTCTTAAGAAAGAAGGGCTTCACTGAATTCTGTCAATCTGCAGCTCTTCCTCTTCTCTCCCTCAGCACCTACTGCGATAGCAGTTTTTATTTAACCTTCAAAAATGTGCTGCACTAGAAGGGTTTTGTGAGGCTTTGCTGAGTAGCATCCCTATCTTAYTGTAATCTTAGTCTGTTTGTTGGTTTGCTTTTTTTTCCTCCTCTGGTGTTTTGTAACCYTCTGCTTTGCACTTTGTCTGAAAATATCACCTGGAGTCAGGGATTTTGGTTTGGTTTGGTTTGATTTGTGATGCAATGCTTCCCTTAAGTGCCATAACCCAAGTTTGGGGGTTAAATATATTTTTGCTTAAATATATTTTAATTGCTGCAGTCCCATGAGGAATTTTGGCCCAGGTTTGCGTTCCAGTAATGTGGGTAACAGTAAATGTGTGCTGGGGATGGAATCTCAGTAACAGATCACAGGCTGATTTTTGCATCGAGCGGTGGGCAGTGAATTTGCAGCAATTTTGAATTTATCCTTTGCACAGCCATTGCCACTCTGTTAACTCTCTGGCTGTAAAGATGTAGCTTGAAAAGTTCCCCACGGATCTTTCTTGGAGTCTGCGAATTTGTGGAAAAGAACCCTATGAAACCTTGTGAAAGACCCTCAAGTACTTTCCCTGAAATTAGCAGGCTTTTTTGTGATGAAGGCTATATTTAGTCTTTTCTTTTATATATTAAATGGCATATAGAAATTAGACTTGTCTTTTAGATTTCTTTTGTGGGATTAAAACTGGACAACCATGAAGATATGTGAAGAAGAAGAAACCTTTTCTGTTTGTTGGAGGCTCCGGAGATGTGCAGAGCACTGTCTTACCTTAGTAGGCCTTGCTTGCAGGAAAGARGTGTTTAATCTTAAATCTCAGAGTCTTCAATTCTTACTGTGCCAGCTTAAAACTGCTTCCCTGGTTCTTGCAGATGTGCATGGATTCTGAAAAACACATGATCTACACCTTTGGAGGCCGAATTCTGACTTGTAATGGCAGCGTGGACGACAGCAGAGCCAGTGAGCCCCAGTTCAGTGGTTTGTTTGCTTTYGACTGCCAGTGCCAGACGTGGAAACTTTTGAGGGAGGATTCCTGCAACGCTGGCCCCGAGGATATCCAGTCCCGGATAGGACACTGCATGTTGTTCCATTCTGTAAGTATCCACACCCTACTTTGATTGATGATGTCTGACTTTAAGGAGAACATCTGGTTTTGGTTTTTCTTGCAAATTTTGAGCGCTTTAATCTCCTGAGCGATGTGTTGTCTCAGTTAATTCGATGTTTGCTGACATTCTGATGCTGCCTTGGGAAGTGCAAGACGTMCTAATTAAAGTTTCAGGGCTTTCATGACTCCAACTGAACAAAATTTCAAGTAAAAAATCAAGGTGAATTTAAAAGAGTAGATTTTAATGGAATAATATTAAATGGATCCAAAACCTGTGGTTCAGTTTGACCTAAAAATGTGTTCTTTTTAAGTTAGTAGAGCGATTTAGAAGCTCCTGGTCTAGTAGATACTCCGTGAGTTACTGGAATGGGACTTTCTGGGTGTGCATTGAGTTGTAGAGACCTCAGCCCTTGGTGCTGAGCATCCAGCTGCTCTTTGCTGTCCTGAGCAGCTGCAAACAGCTGGGCACAGCTGGCATTAGGGACACTTCATCCAGAGCTTCATGGAGGAGCAGAGGGCTGGAAGGGGTTTGTCTGTAGCGTTTTACTTAGTATTGGGTATTAAACCACCTTCCATTGCCTTTTCAATTGTGTTCATCAACCACGTCTATTTAAGAGGAGAGAATTAAAGAGAATTAAAAATGATATTGTGACATTCAAGCATTTGCTGATACCACCAACTCAAAACCCACTAATTTGGAGAAATTGCTKATTTTATTTCTGTTGCCCTTTCAAATAAAAGATCAGAATTTTTACAGTGAATATTGGGCTTTCAGAGCTTTCAATTTTATTTTTGTTTTGAGTGGTTSTTTAAAAATGGGTGGAAAAACATATTGCCATATGCAGAATTCTGCACAGGAACTTGAGGGTCTTTAAAGTAAGTGTCCATGGTAAATGTAAGAACACTGSTTTCTGTAAGCACAGGTCATGGAAGTTTAAGTCCTTTTCTGTTTTCTCAACCATTTGAAAGAAAAATAATCTGCCTCTTACGGACTTTCCACTTGGCAGACTTGAAAGAAGTAATAAACCTGTTATTCTTGGCTTGCTCCTTGCCATTTGCCTGTACTGAATTTAGTAGTGTGCTGGTACCTGCATGGTTTCTCCTACAGTCTGTCTTTTGTTCCTGTTGTGTTCTTAACAGTGAATTTATGATGGGTTTTAGAGACAGAGGAATTTATTATTCCTTAATAATAAGCTTGAAAGATAAACTGCTGCTTTAACATTGTGAAGTTAAAGCTGTTGAAACAGGGCTTCAGCAGGTACCTGTGCACAGTTATTTGAAATTTAGAAGAGACATTTCTGTTTCTCTTTGATTCATTAATGGCTGCCCCATCCCTGGAAGTGTTCCAGGCCAGGTTGGATGGGACTTGGAGCATCCTGGTCCAGTGGAAGATGTCCCAGCCCATGGGAGGGGATTGGAACTGGATGGGCTTTAATGTCCCTTCCAAGCCAAACCATGTGTGATTCTATGATAAATATTTCATTAATKAATGTAGTTGACCAACATACTTGAACTTTGTAAAGACTTTTTGTTTTTTCCCCCCCATTCCAGAAAAATCGCTGCTTGTATGTATTTGGTGGCCAGAGATCAAAGACTTACTTGAATGACTTCTTCAGTTATGATGTGGACAGTGACCACGTGGACATTATCTCAGATGGCACGAAGAAAGATTCAGGGATGGGTAAGAGGATAACATAATTTCTTTTTGTTGCTACAACTGAGAAATGTACTGTAAAAGATATATTTCYTCTCCTGGTGTAAAAGGAGAAATATGTAGGTGAAAGGCCACGTTCAGCCCGTGGGATCAGGTTTGCATCCTTAACTAAYCCTCCATACTCACGTAAACTCCACACTATATAGGTTAAACTTATGCCACCTCTTCTGTCCTTTCTGTCATTTGATACTCTCCTTCTTGAACACAATACAAATAATTGATGCATGAAACCACATAGCACCTCAAAGAAAAAAAAAAAGCCCAGGAAAATAAGAACTAAAAATACCTCTTCTGAAATTCTAGAAGAGACAAAAAAGCTGAAAAAAGAGTCTTTAAACCTGGAAAGGGGAAAGCAAATTTTTATTTTTCTGCTTTTCACTAAGTGAAAARTACTATAAAATAGAGATAATCTCAGAACGGCAGGTAGGGTGCTCTGAGACAGAAAATTGAAGTAGAGTGACTGAAGTTACTTTGACCAGAAAGATAAGATCAAGCTGTTGCCCTGTTATATTTGTAATAAATACCAGAAAGGGGCAAAAAAAAGGAAGAGGAGGGAGCAAGTTCGGTTCTGTGTGGTTCATACTGCTGGAGCTACATATCCCATGTGTAGTTCTGTATGACAGAAGTCTTTAAAAACCCCCAGAAGGTCTGTAACATAACCATAGAGAACTGATTTCATGCCTTTTCTCCTCAAATGACAGAGAAAAATGTTCCTTTCTTCCCRAGAAGCACTTCTGCATGTATAAGCACATCATTTCCTTGTTACAAATACCCTGATTTTCATCCTGCAAGTCAGGATTTGAAATTTGAGTTGCACTGTGTACCATTATGGGACAGAAGTTAGGGATGTTTCTCATATTATGTATATTCGGTCCCAATTCAGTTTTCTTTCAGTTACTAAAACCCTCAGGAAGRTAATTAATCTTGAATTTAGGCTGCCCTCCCCCTTTTGATCAGCCTTAACTTTTAGCAAGTAATTTTGCTGAACTTTTGAAGTGAATTATTGATGGTGACGAGTTATTGTTTGCTTGTTAATTTAGTTATGCCAATAATGGAGAAAAGTGCCCAACCTCTATTTCTCTGGAGTCATTTGTTTACTCAAGTGCTTCCAAGAAAGAGCCAGCTCATATTGTTGACAGTCTCCTTTATTCAGGTGCATGTTGCCTCTGCACACACCCACGCTCCTTTTGTTGTCCTTAGAGCTTTTAAAGAATTGATTTATTTTTTTCCCAGGAAATTGGTAGCATTCTGCCATTTTGATCTTTTCAAGCTACATATTTTCATAGCCAGAAGCTTGAAAACGTGTGGTTTTAAGATGGCACCTTTGTCTACTTCAGATTTAGATACTGAGTTTGTTTTCCACCGGAGAAGACACAGCTCTGCTTTTCATACATGAACTGTAAGGTTCAGTGAAGTAAATGAGACTATAATTTTTAGCCCTTCTCCCCATTCCCACAGGCCCTGAAGTGGTGAATAGAAGAGTTTTTTTTAATAAGAAAATGACTCACTGGAAATAATTCACAAGTAGATTCTTTGGTTTACTGTTCTCCTGTGTGTAGAAAGTAAACAAACAGATTTGAACATTCCCATTGCTTTTGAAAGAAAATGCTGGGATAATTTGCATTTTAACAGGAAGAGAACAAAATGCTTATTACGTTCAGACAGCAAATGTTGACAGCACTGTTTTCACCCAAAAAAAAGCAAGTCTTTATTGTGCTCTTGTTAGGTAGTGATACACCATTTTGATCTGTCTGAACAAAGTGATTGCCTGCCTGGTCGCTGTGAAGTTTTAAGCTGCTCAGTGTGATGAGTCAAGTTGAGGATGCCTGACCTAAATGTTCCTATAAAGTCCCATGATTACATTTTGTTCCTGGCTYGCATGTGGCATTCAGTTCTATTCTTAGTTGAGCTATTTTGATTTTTACCCTTTCTAAAAGAACTTAATTGTGCATTTGTTTAAATATCTCGTGGAGTAGGGAGGTTTTTTAAAAAGTAATGAAATGGATAATAAGGATTATCAGTAACATGGGGTTGTTGCAATGCTATAAAACCATGGTAATGATATGTTGGTTTTGCTGATCTCATCTCCTGGGTGAGATATTTGTGCTATTCASTGTTTCTTTGCTTTTGTTTGTGTCTCTGATGTTGATCCTGTGACCAGCTCTTTGGATGGCTGGTGTGTTTGAGAATAATGGGTGATAAGCATCACTTATATTTTCTTAATTTTAAGTAAAGGACATAATTCCAGCGGATTTAGACATGCAGCTGTGATGATGTGTTGGATGTGAAGGAAGACGACAGAGGTGCAAATTGGAGGAATTTTAGTACCCTTGAGTGTGGTTGGAGGAGWGGCAAAAATGTTTATGTTGATGGACACACTTTTGGAGCAGTTTTATACTTTTAATTGCTTTAAAAAACACATAAACTACACACAAGCAACAAAAAAGCCCCCAACAAACATGCCAGAGTGTATATCTGAAGCATTCAGGGGGTCTAGAGATGCCAGCAGTCCCAGGTATCCCCAAGGGGTGGACTGGGAGCTTTCCCAGCTCTCTTAGTGTGCAATCCCTGACTCATCCTGGGCGGTCATTTCAGGGCTGAGGGAGCTCGTGGCATTGTGGTCAAGGTTCCTGTGATAATCCCTTCTGGCCCTGACTTAGGTGGTGTGTCAGAGCTCTTGGTCAGAGGGAGAATTTCTTTCTGCAAGAGGGTGCAGATCATCTGAAATCCCTTGGCATCGAGTAACTTCCAAAGTCAAATGTGAGCAAGCCTTAAAAATTCTTGTGGCTCCTTGTAAAGGTGAAGTGGTTCTTAAGGGCAGTGCACAGGTAGTTTTAAAGCTACCAGTRAAGATCCCAGATCTCTTTTTGGACAGGTGCTCATTTCTCATACAGAACTGTGCACCTGATGGATGGGGAGTTTCATGGGTAAGTACCACGGACAGAGGCGACCAGCCCAGACCAGGAAACAAGGCAAAGTCAGAAAAACATGAATCAAAATATAGTACAGCTAGCTCAGCATGGCTGGGATCCACCTCAGACAGGCAGCCTGAATATCCCATTTGCAGCATCTCTTTGTGACACCTGACATGTTTTGCCTCGTAAAGCTGCTCAGGTAGGGTCTTGCCAGTGGCTGGCACATCCCTTGCCATAGAAGCATTTTGTTTTGTGAGGGACTTGTGTGCTTTTCATCTTGTAAAGTGCTTCTCTGAACCTATCCCAAAATCCTTTCCTCTGCCTGTGAATGTGAGGAGGTGGACAGGCAGTCACCAGATCCTACAGATGCCTTGCAGAGCTGCCATAKCTCTGAATTCCATTCAGATTTACTGGCTGATCTGCTTTTTCCAAAATCTCAGAGGGAGCCGAGCATTGGACATTGGATTGTTGCTTTGTCAACATGACAACCAAACTGTTCAGATGGTCTCCTTAGCTGCTCCTTGGCAGACTGCCAGATGCAGTCTCATCAGGAAAAATCCAAGAGGATAATCATTATCTTGCTGTGTCAACAGCTGGCCTGGTGCTATCACTCACCATGACTTGCTCCATTAAAGTCTGGGGGAGGTGCTGCTTCCGCTTTACACGAGTTACAAGGAGTGTCATGGAATAATTTGCAGACCTACCACTTTTTAAAAATTAATCCACTGGGAGGTGCCAGGTTCTGGTGAGCAGCAACATCCATGTGATGCAGTTTTCTCCCAATTTTGTAATCATGAGACATCACAAGGAGGGAGGATACTTGTGAATTGCTTGCAGTGGGATTGGTAGTCACATGTTCCAAGGGTTTCATTATTCAGGTGGCACTAAAACCTCATCAGTGAGCTTGCTTCCCTTAATTATCCTTGGTGAATCTTTCAGAGATGGTCTGTACACTGTAGATTTATAAAATTGTTTTGCCACTGTTGCGTTTCAAAGTGTTGAAAAATTTGCCGTAATATCCCCTCAAATGTGAGAGATGAGATTTAATTTCCARTATTCTGTCTAGTACTGTGAGAACCGTATCTGTGTAACCATAAACTTAACTTTAGATTGCTYATAGCAGCTGTGGCTGCCCCTTCCCTGGAAGTGTCCAAGGCCAGGCTGGACAGGGCTTGGAGCATCCTGGGATAGTGGAACGTGTCCCTGCCYATGGCAGGGGTTRGAACTGRATGATCTTWAAGGTCCTTCACAACCCAGTTGATCCTAGGATTCCATGAATTTCAATTTCCTGCTTTGTGAGCTCTGTCTCTGTGTAAAAGCTGTTTCTTGCTTCGAYGCTGGCAGCAGCCAAGGTTGTGCTTGAAACAACTCTAGCTGTTTGCACACAGGAGCCAAAAAATATTCAGCTGGCTGAAATGATCTCTGTGATCCCATAAACTCCTGTAAGCAGGGGCTGTGGTAGTGGGAACGTGGCTGCTCCATGATTAGGTGTCACTTTCTGAGAAAAGCTTTYCCCCTGTGTTGTATTTAAATGGAAATTACACTGTACACAGCTCCACAGCATCTCCTCAGAGCTTGCTCAGGAATTATTGCTTGTTTATGGAACTGGCTGCAAACTCGAGGCCTGTGCGGCTGAATATTGTTTTCAAATATTGAGGCCACGAGCTTTTAATTTTTGCTGTGTAAAAATGAATGAAAATATTAAGTTTCTGAGCAAGGATTAAGACCTCTTATTTTCACTTAGTTCCTGCCCTTCTACCCTGGTGTGGTTAATGAGATTAAGAGGTAAAAAACCATGCAGTGGCACAGGAAAAGCATTCACCATCTTCTAGACTTTTTGGGATTGTGTTRTATTTAGAGATTTCTCTGTACAGCYTCAATAAGTGATGTATTGTCATAGGAGGCAAGTTAATAGCACGTAGCCACAGGCCAGCGTTCAAAACACCCAGGGCTAAGTCCTCAGTCCCTGCTTTGTCCTTGGACCTGGCTGCCCACAGCTGACCCAAGAGGTGCTCTGAAAGGTGTGAAATAGGTGGAGATTTGCCCCAAAGCTGATTTTATATCCCTCTGYGAAGAAGCAGGAGTGAGAGAACTTCCATGGAGCTTTTCTTACCACTTCCTTCACCCCTTGCATCTTACACATTGCAAATAACAGCTCTGTAAGTTCTCTGCTTCTCACCTCTTGTTTTTTGACTTTTTTCTCCTAAGTCCTAAAATTTAAAAATACAGGTTCTTAGCAARYAATTACTGTCACTGTYAYAGACCCATTTTTATATGTTCAGTTYTGTWGTCCACRCMGAATTAAATTCCYTTCCCAATGTACATTTTGTTACTGAAATATCCCAAGTATTTTTCCAACGTTTCCAGCCCATGTTCCTCTCTAATACTCTGACTGTTCTCTTTTGAATTCTGTCCAACACTTCCTGCCAGTCTACTGCACTTGCAGATGATGAACCTCTCTTACCCCCTAGTGGAAGTTTTTCAGTCCTGAGATTTTTATGGAGCCCTTTTGYTCTGTCAAGGATCAGACTTCCTTGGAAAACATATTTTTGATGTTTCTGGTGGGTTTAAAACATCACGGTGTTTTCTGCTCACTGTGTAGTATCTTGTCTTACTGTCTGTTTATTTTCAGGGACTTGTTTATCAGATTTGTGTTATGGGGTTRTTTTAATACTACATCCAACTTTCCTCATTTTGTCCTCCTCTGCAAAAGACCAGATGTCAACTTTTTGTAGCCTAAGGCACTAAAATACAGTTTCTACACAGTTGCTTAGATAGGTCACAGAGTTTATGTAAGTTGCTCCTCATCTTAGGCCCTAAGTAAATGTAGGGATTTATATTTTGATACTTTTCTAGACATTCTGCATTTCAAACTGTCTCAAGAAGCGATTGATTTACAACTGAGGGAAGCCTGAAATTGCTTAACTTGAATCTGGTTTTGATTACAGTTGCTGTGGATGAATTCTATTCTTAATATCAAGAAGAAAAAACCACCAGCGCTGAACTTTGGCAGTTTTCCCTCCTTCATTATTTAAATAATAATTTCAGCTTCAGGAAATCGAGCATAAACGAGATACAAAATTCATTTATTTAACAACATTTCAGGAGGAGGGATGGGACTTCCAACAGACAAGTTTCAGATGCTTTGGATATCAATGGTAATAGAGCAACCATCTTCCTTATGATTATAATAATTTTCATTTCAATGAGGTATTAGTGCTCTGAAGATTYGTGCAGGGTTTTTTTGTGTAATATTCCCAGCATGGTCTCAAATGTTCAAAGCAGCAGATAGGATTGCAAAGACATTTTCCTTGTGCATTAGGATTGCTGATCAAATTTAGATGGCTCTCCTGACAGAAACGTCTCAAAAAGGCCTTGAATTTAATCCTTTTGGGTCAGCAACTTAGTCCCTGACTATGCAAGCAAACACATTACATGATACTTTTCAAAAATTAGCAATTTTTAGTCTAKAATTGTCTTTTTGTTCTCAATTTCCTTATGGTATGACTTTCACAGTCTTCATTGTCTAGTTTAAAAATCCAGTTCTTTGTGGTTTGCAGGTAAAACAAGGTGTATTGCCATTGTTGTGCCAATGTTATTTCCTGATTTTTTTCCTCTTTTCTGCCACCCAGTTGCTTATAAATTAGATWAATTTTCCTTTARAACTTCATGGCAAAATTGGATGTCRAACTAGACAGGTTTATGCTGATRAGGGCTCCAAAGCCTCTTCCTCCTGTAAAACCATRAGGAAGGATTTTGTCAAAGAGACTCTGAGAATGAATTATCCAAATATATTCCAGTTTCTATTTAAATTTACATAAGAATTAAGCAATTTTTTTAAAAAAAAATGCTTACATTTTGTGGTGTTTCTAAATTCTCCAATAGGGGCCAAAATTGTGGAAAACCAAATTCTACTCAGAATTTTTAAATTCATTTATTGCTTTCGTGGCTTAACAAATGAAAAGAGAGAAGCGTGAGAGTGAAACCAGTTACAGAATGGGCTTCCAAAATACCATTTTATGTATTCCCCAACAGCAATATTAAATAGTTTATTAACGTAGGGCTCATTTTCTAGGCCGTGGGTGCAATTCAGTTAATTGCGAGGAAGAATTTGCAAAATACAAGAGTTCTGAGAATTTTTCATGCCAAAATCTTGACCAAAGGCCAGGAACCTTTACCAGCCTTTGTAAACTGACCCAGAAAGAGAAAGGAGACAAACAGGATCTGTAAACAAAGATCACGTGCCCTTCACAAATACATTTTGGAAGGATGGTTGCCTAGGGAAACAGGAAACGGGGAATTATACAACAAACAAAAAGGACTGCCAAACAAATTTGCTGACCTTTTTTTCGGGGAATTATGATGAAAACTGTTGGAATCCGCAGGATTTCACCATATTTCTAAATCCGAAGGTGGGACAGAAGGATAGTTTGGTAATTACACCACAACTATTCAGAAAATATAAAGAGCTTCTTTGATATCTTTGTCCTGCAGAGTTGTGAGCTATATAATCATGAGGTCATCTTGAATTTTTTGGAGTTTCCCAGCTTTTGCAATTAAGCTTTCCGGAATCAATGCGTCCTTTTACAGATGAGATAATAACAAAATCACTCCATTCATATTTGTAAGGGTCATCTGGTCATTTAGCTCTGTGTTAGGCAGCTTAATCCTCATTTCTGAGCTGGTAGTCTCCCAAATGACTCTGTCCATATCTTTCCTAGGAAACAGCAGCTCTCAGAATGTTGGTTTTTTTTTGTTTTTTTTTGCTTCCAAGAGTCACAGATAGGAAGAGAAGAGTTTGCATTGGACTTGGCTTTAAGCAGGGAAGAAGTTGGCCTCTGGATGWTGATCTGCTGAATTTCAGGGAAGGGAAACTCATTTGCCTGATGTTTGGATCCCTTCCTGCATCCTCCGTTGTTTCCAGCATGTAATTTTATTTTCTTTTCTCAGTTCCAATGACAGGTTTCACTCAAAGAGCCACCATTGATCCCGAGCTGAATGAAATCCATGTCTTGTCAGGGCTCAGTAAAGACAAGGAGAAGCGGGAAGAGAAYGTAAGGAATTCCTTCTGGATTTATGACATTGTGAGGAACAGCTGGTAAGTCCTACATTCTAACTTTCACACTGACTTCCTTTAGCAAGCAGTCCTGTCTCCCAGGTAATTCTGTAGCCTCTCTTAACCCTGGAATTGTTGAAAGTTGTTGAAGACAGCTGRGTTCCCTTGAGGCACCTCTTTTTCCCATTGTCTTTAGAGGCAACATGGCAGTAATCCAAATGAGGGAGAGAAATCGTGTGAACATCTTTATTGGAGCCAGGTGCAGGAGATGGGGGGAAGTGAGCAGTTACAAAAGGCTTTTCCTGTACGAAGGGTTCAAGGCCAGGATTCAGCACCAGTGCAGCAAATTCAGTCCAGTGTGCATTGCTAATACATTGTACATGGTTCTAGTTCTTMGAAATTGAGGAAACTGGTGCATGGGAACAATGATGGAGAAGTCTCCATGCTAGATCTGATATTCTGAGAAAATATCTCCTGCTTCATTCATCAAGTTGTACTTGGTAGCACATTGTCACTGTTCCTTTCCAGAGCTGGCAGAGTTTTTGTGTTCAAGGCCTCTTCTAAAGTGGGGCCAATGACTTCAAAAGGTGTGAATGTTGTTTTTTAAAAGTGACTTCTCACTTATAATTTAATCCTGCTTGGAAATCAGTTACTGAAATACCACCTTTGCTGTAATCCATGGCCTAAAGCTCTACTGGRTCCAAGATGGATTTTTCTATCATAAAAAATACTTCATGCTGACAGTTCCTGTAGGCAAATAACGTAACACCTGAAGATATCCCCAAAGCTCATGACAAATAATTTTCAGAWTTTTTTCCTGTTTGGCTTGTGCTYRRGGACTGTTTTCAGCCAAGGTGWGCTCTGATTGCTGGCTGGGTTCTTTGTAGAGCTAAGAATGGGATGGGATAATAGAGGACAGTGTAGAGAGAAGTAAGAAAATCTTTGGGGTTATACATAATTTGTACATTTCACAACTTTTCCTGCTTTCTGTAGGTACAACTAATAATTCCTTGCCACTTTGAATTTCAGGTCTTGTGTCTATAAGAATGACCAAGCWGCAAAAGAGAATCCAGGTAAAAGCCTTCAGGAAGAGGAGCCCTGTCCAAGGTTTGCCCATCAGCTGGTGTATGATGAGTTGCACAAGGTATGTGGTGATTTTTTTTYAGTCTTTTTACTCTTAAGATGTACTTAAGAGTTTCCCTAAAGATGGTATRATAAATACAGCTTTTAGTTTAGTGTTAATGTTTGGGTTAATATGGTGAGTAACTGTCATTTAGCTTCCCATATATTAAAATAAGGTGCTAAACTACTTTTTATGTCAATGTGAAGTAGATACGAGATCTCTTCTCACGCTTCAGAACACATGAAGCTWTATTCATTATCCTCAGAGGTTTAATCTCAACTGTTGGTGACTAAATGAGAAAAGACAGTTACACTTTTTCCAAGAAATGTTGGTATTTGAATGAACTAATCTCAGTTATGAATCCTCTGAAACCAGAGGTGCCTGAATTTTCCTTACATGTCAGAAGCAACTGTCATTCTTCAGCACTGTCAGGCTYCAATGGACACATTCAGAATTAAATAGACTTAAAATTGGGTTTAGTGTATGTGACAGCTCAGTAAACTTAGGGCTTTGTGCATATTAACCAGTAAAGCACAAACCCACAGATTAGGTTCATAAATTCATTAAGTCATGAATTTAAATTACCGTGACACTCTTACTGAACCTTTCATGGATTTTTCTAAAAATTGTCSCTAGTCTGAAACTGAGTTAAAGAAAAACGTATTTTAGCCTTGCATTCTGTGGAGTGTTAATCAAAAGTGTTAATGAAATTTGGGAATCCCAGCTAGCCCAGAACTTTGACAGTAAGGAGGATTTTAAGGAGGAATGGGTGCAGATTCTGTAAGGAGAATTTGCATTGCTTTTTGTCTCCACTGTAATATACATTAAATATTGTTCTGCCTTTACTCTTCAAAGTGTGAGGTACCAYGAGACTGAGAGTAGTATTTCATGAGTTACTCTGAAGGTTGCTAAATCATCGCAGTTGCCCAGCTTTATCTGAAGAGCTGTTTGATGTGCTTGTTTTGAAGAGTCTTATTTTTAGAAACCTCTGTTCCAWTGACCTTTCTAAACTCCTCTGATATAAATAAGGAGAGTCTACAGCAGTGGGATGCAGAAGACATTGTTTTGAGTGATTATTTTTAAAGCCATGGGGAAAGGTAGCCTGTTGGACTTGTTAAACTTCAGTATTTGAAGGTCCTTTGTAGCATGTTTAATATCAACAGCTCAGAGTCTGAAATTACCACACGACGGGAAGAAAAATGTAGTGAAGAAATAAACAGTCCTTTTGTGACACTTCCACTCTTCTGGAAATTTGCCTCTCTGTAAGTCTAGATTATGCTGGACTGGGTTTGCTGTCACTTTACTTTGAAAATCTTTAGGACTTCCCACTCACTTTCTCAGTGCTTAAGGATTTATCATGCTCATAAGYTTTATCTAAAGAAAGAGGATGCATRAATTTTGGATATTTATGAATATCTCAGGTATCTGCTAAAGAGAGGTTCTAAAAGCACAACTCTTTTATTATCTAAAAATGTAAATGGTTTAGAGAACTTTTTTCATCTCCAAGGGGACAAAGTGAGGGTAATAATAAGATGGAGCAACTTGCCTAAAAGGCAGAGTTTCTCCCACCAGAATAAACCCCAGCAAAGCTGCTGATGTAGTAAATTGTCTTTGTGCAGTGGATTTACACAAACAATCAATTTTTTGATCTCTCATTTTCTTAGGTTCATTACTTATTTGGAGGGAATCCTGGTAAATCCTGCTCTCCAAAGATGAGATTAGATGATTTCTGGTCTCTGAAGCTSTGCCGACCATCAAAGGAATACCTGCTAAGACACTGCAAATACCTCATCAGAAAGCACAGGTATAGAAACAAAGGTGGTTTGCAATTTTCTTTTCCAAGTGTATCTTTTTTTTTAAGTTGCTAAGACTCAAATATCTCATAAACCATTTTGTGAAATATAATTYTGTTGGAACTAGATGATCTTYAAGGTCCCTCCCAARSCAACCATTCTATAATCCGATGGTCTGCAGTTTTCTTGATTTTTAAAATAAAATACTTTAATAAAAAGCAGTAGGCCAGGGCTGAATTACAAAATTAGCTTGATTCATTTTGACTAWGTTACTCTAAAACTAGAAAAATCTGGTTATTGTGTGGGGAGTCCTGGGGAATTTTTAGATTCCCTTTTCACTCTGCTGCTCATCAACATGTGTTTTGGTGCTGTCACCTCCCAAGGAAATGGAGTATGTTTTGGAAACACTGTGCTTGGAGATAGTAACAGCCTGCAAGGATGCTAATGAAGTCTGGGGGCTGGATGCCTTTGCACATCTGAGACTCAACCGTGGTGAGGTCATCAGAGTTTCTCATTCAGAAACTCCTGAAAGAGCTCASTTAGGCAGAATTCAGCTACGCTGCCGTAATTCTTGCACTCTGGATGCTTCAGAGCTGCTTTATATTTGCTATTTAGGGCAACAGCTTTTCAAAATCAAGCTTATGGTGTTGCCTTAGTCAAGAAATTGCAGCAGTGAGAGAGCCTTTCAGGACCCAGCAAATCATTTGAAGGCAGTAAATAGCTCTCCCTGCATTCTGGGGGAGAATACTTCGTTATCAGGCTCTGCCAAGAGTTGGAAGGTCAGGTTTTCCTGATGGTATTTTACTTCTGAGGCAGCAAACAAATTGCTGTACTCAATTCACAGCCACTGTTGCAGGGTGGGACTAAGATTAGCCACACAGTAGATGTGAATACCTACAAGAATGAATAAAGGCCTTGCCCAGTTATCTGGGAGGCTTATTAAACACAGATGTGGTGGTATGGAAATGCAGCTGTGCAGCCTCCAGAGACAGCTCTGGTTTATTTGTTTCTGTTTGCTTAAATTGCACTTGAAGGAAATGTTGCTGTGTGTTATCAGGCATAAGTTTGGGGTTTTTTGCTCCTGTGTTTAGGGTCTGTGTGGGGGAGCCAAACCTGAGCAGCTAGGGATGGGTGCCTGGCTGGAGCTGAACTGCTGTGCAGTCACTGGCTGCCCTTTACCTGCATTCCCCAAACTCTGGGGACCAGAAGGAACTGGCCTTGCATCCACAGCAAACCCACAGCRTCATCTGAGGTCCTGTTTTCCTTTGAACTTTTTTAGTACCAGTCAGCCAAGCTGGGCATGTCAAAAAGAGCAAGGTGGCAGTGGTTCTGCTTACTTGGAAATACTGGTTTTGTTAGCTGGGTCTTGCTCTTTGTCAAACTAGTAGTACTTAATCTGAAGGAAATTACTGTGCTCAAGTTTTCTGTCTCTTCTCTGCAGGTTTGAAGAGAAAGCTCAGACTGACCCTCTTAGTGCACTGAAGTACCTGCAGAATGATTTRTATGTAACCGTGGATCACTCGGACCCCGAGGAGACAAAAGAGGTGAAGATCAATGATTCTTGTCATAAAGAAATTTAAACTGTGTTCTCATTGAAAGTTTTGAGCCTCTTAAACTTGTGTTTTATTCAGTTTGTAAAAGCTCTGCAGGTGGCAGACACTTTGCTGTATCATACATTTCTCTGCACTTAAATTCACACTGTTTTGGAAACAGTTATTTAACAACTGCAGGTCCAGATAAAATAGCTTTTGTACTCCTAGGAGTGAAGACTAAGCCTTTGTTTTAATTCCAGTGTGCTGGTGTATATTTTGGGAGCTTTAATTGAAATGTAAACTCTRAAATGTCACCAGTCTGTAGTTGGTTGTGCAGTAGAAAGGGAGTAGAAACTTACTCATGCTGCTTTTTGGCTTCTCAATATTCAGCATCTCTGGGGAGGGTAAGTTTTTTCAATGATGATCAGTATTTCTGGAAGTAGATATATATATATATATATATAGCTTACTACCCTTAAAACCTTGCTTCCTCTGCCTTTTGAATATTATCCAGTAGGCATGTTCTTTATTTATTCCAGGAATTTGTTCCCATTTCCTGTTTTGATTCCAGTGCTGCAGTGCGTGTCACTTTACAAAACRGATTAAAGAAATAGTGAGAAGTGTCAGATAAGGTGGTTGATTTGACTCTGGCATTAATTTCCACATGAAATTTGTRGCAACCAGCTGAGATGTGCCAGCATTCATCTCCTGATGGGTGGATAAGGAAAGGTCTGTGGTTCTTGCTGTCTTCTTTCCTTAGTGATTTGGGAAGTGATTTGACAGCTCCTTTTRTAAAATCACGATAGGAGGAGGGGCAGTTCTTTYCCRTGCTGAGTCCCTGGATTAAATCACTTAATCTGTTGCTTTTAACGGGCTACTTTAGCTAAAGGAAAGGTTATACAGACACTGAAAGGTCTTGGGGGAGAATATGCTTCTTGTATGTGCACAGGATAGAATTGTAGGGTTAAAATTAGGAAAAATSTTATCAGGGTCTTGGAACTGATCACATATGTCGTAAGTTTTGATCAGCCTTACAAACATCTGATGCAACAAAACATTCAAGTGYTGTGCCTCTGTGTTCTCTGTAAATGGTTTCAAATTGTCCCTTCTAAAGTAGTATCACATCCTTTCTAGCCATTTCTAGCTCTGGAAAGAGAACAGATGATTCTGCTTCTCTTAAGATAGAAAAGGAGATTTTCAATTTTTTGCTCAATATCAGCCATCTTCCCAGTGTGGTAACACTTCCATAGAGTCATTTAGGTTGGAAAAGACTTAAGGTTGGACAGGGAGTCCAACCATTACCCCCAGCACTGCCAAGGCCACCATGAAACCATGTCCCCAGATGCCACTTCTGTATGGCCTTTAAATACCCACAGGGATGGGRACTGTGCTTCCCCAGGCAGCCTGTGCCAGAGCTCCACAGCCCTTCTGGTGAATTTTTTCCTGATATCCAGCCTTAAATTGAGGCCTTTTCCTCTTGTCCTATATTTTATCACTTGGGAGTGACTCCCCTGGCTGCCCCCTCCTGTCAGGGAGTTGTGCAGAGCCAGGACGACCCTCAGAGCCTCCTTTTCTCCAGGCTGAGCCCCTTTTGCAGCTCCCTCAGTCAGTYCTGGTGCTCCAGACCCTTCCCCAGCTCCGTTGCCTTCCCTGGGTTTGCTCCATTCCCTCAGTGTCTTTCTTCTTGTGAGTGGCCCAAAACTGAACACAGAATTCAAGGTTTCYTCTTCCTGTTTGAGCCTGTACTAACCCATTGTGATGCTCCCTTCTCCCCTCCTGCTCCCTCCCWCTCCTGTGAGATGTCCTGTGTTCTCCAATCTCTTTTTTTCTCCATGTCATACCTGTGTGCTGGCAGCCTGTCTCTACTCAGCCAGCTACTCCTAAAGAGATCTTGCATCTCATGGCTTGCTGGGCCTTTTTATTATTCCCTGAGCAGAAAACATCTGTGGTGTGGTGAGCAAGCTCCTCTCCTATTTCCTGCTGCCTCCTGTCATCCACAGACTGAAGGAGCTGCTGCAGAAACTGCACGTTGGGCACATCTGGCATGGGAAAGTCTTTAATATCCTTCATTTCCTTTTCCCAGTTTAGTTTAGTGTAGTGTTCAACTTGTCCACTTTGTGAGAATGGAGAATTTACATGACTGCATTGGCTCCTCTGAGATTTTGAGGGAATGTCGTAGCTTTATCATACCAAGTAGAAATAGAATAAAATGTTTGAAAAAATTAGCCCTTTCARTGAGCACACTGGAGTTCTGAACATTAATGATCCAGCGAATGAGCTTAGATAGCTCAATCCAGCTGAGTGAATATATTGTGGATTCTTTCTCTGCAGGCCTAATGTCTGATCCAGACAAAATCCAATAGCTTCTGTCTGTCGTGCTGGGCCGTTGGGTCAACACACAACCATTCAGCAGAATTAGAGCTTCCATTCCAGCCATCTCCAAAAATCATTTAACAGTTTCTGGGACGCTTTTTTTTGTTTGGGTTTTGTTTTGGGTTTCWTTTCTTTAATTATTATTCATTGTGCTGGTCATAAAGCTATAGCTTCCACAGCTTTTTACACARGGACAGATTTGCCAGGGCTGTGGCTCAGAGCCAGCTGCTGGGCTGGTACTGACTGGGTGTATTTCCAGTTGACGTCAATTTACCTTCCGGTTATCACATTGAGTTGGCTTTTTGCTCTGGCATTGCATCTTCAAATAGCTCCTGTGCTTTCCAGAGGACTGACGCAGGCGGTTTGGATTCCATATYGAATTTCAAGCACCACTTTGATTGTGTCTCTCAGCCCAGACACCTCCATACCCTGCCTTTATTTGATTTGTATCCTGATTAATATCAAAGGTGATAGATGGGATTGGCTGCAGCCATTGACTGCTGTAAGGATTCTTAGTGTGGCAGAACKTTAAGGAATCAATTCCTGCCCGTTTTCCCTCCTTCCAGGGCAACTGTTAAATTTTGGAAGGACCAAACTGAACAGTTTCAACCCCAACTTCATGCAATAATTCTGGAGACTGGCCTGTATGGCTTCATGTTTTATGGATTGAGATCTGGGTGGTGTTATATACCATTACAAGCAGAATTTCCCCTTGTGGTGAGGTTTGCTTGCTTTGTAACAGAAGTAATTCCTTCTAACTTAGTTAGGCAAGTCTGTTCAGCTGTTTGGAGTTGGATGCCAAGGAAAACAAACAGACTGTTCTTGAAACTTACTTTGGCATTAGTAACCAATTTTGTTTAAAGTAGCATGAATGATTGATAGTAGGAACATACCCCAAGATTTTCATTCTGTTGCTGTGAATTTTAGGGATGCTAAGAGGACTATATTTTTATTTCCCTTTTTTATTAGTCTAAAATGAAGTMGCTGTCTGCAAATAACAGGTATTGCATGGATGCTTGGTTTAGCAGCCACAGGCTCTGTGCCAGCAATTTCTCTGCCCACAAATGCAGATCCAGTTCTCTTTAACAGTSATTCTGCTTGAAATCACTTAAACCTCCTCACTCAATTCAGTGTTTTTCAATCAGTGGGTCCTTCTTAGTGGCTGTGGGCTAATAGCTCTGACACTGTGTGAAAAAGGAGGGTAGATCCCTAGAGAATGGGGAATTTTGCCTGTGGTTTAACAGATTAAAGTTGTATAAAAGTGTCATTTGTTGGTGTAAAATTTTCTGCTGGCRTGGCTGTTACTCTTTCTCACACACAGATACGAATTTGGTGGTAGTTTACAATTGTAGGTTTTTAAAGATAAAAGGATGGTCAAAATAAATATCAAATTGAATTCCAGATTTTGTATTTACAGAAAAACAGGTGCTGTTAAAGCACAGAAACCTCAGTAGTTCTTGCACAAAGCTAAAGATGCTCCTTGAACACTGCAGTAATCATGCCCAGAACTCTGCTGCTTTTAAATGGACTGCAGCAGAAATCAGGATGACACAAAAAATGTCCAGTGCTTTCCAAGTATGGGAGAGCAGGATGGTTTTTTTTTACACGGAGATCCAACAACTGATGAAGCTCAATCTCATGGTTGTAAAACAGATACAAAAGCACAAGGAAAACTCGCAGTGTGTTTTTCTTGGAGCGTGATAGGAGAAAGAGCAAGGACCTGGAGGCCACTCTGACTTACTTGTAGACTGAGGCTGGAGGCCCCTGTTCAAGGCTGCTTCATACTTTCCATTCTTAAGACCTTGTCTTTAATAAATTTGACAGATAAAGCCAGCAGGACCCAAAAGCATTGTTTGAATCTGCATTAGACTGATATTTCTGGGAAAATTGAAGCCTGAATGTGAAAAGTAGTTCTAGGAAGGAGCTAAGAAAAGCCTGTTTCTCTTTGTTGTGTCCTGCTGTGATTCTTTGTAAAGCCTCAGAGCCTGAGTGCTGCAGGAGCAGAGGCTTTGGAGCCAAGGAGCCTTTATAAAAACAGYGTTCAGCCTTCCTAATTTCAGCCACAGCTCCCTCCTCAAAGGATTTGAACCTTTGCACCTTTGAGCCTGTACTGGAAGTCACCAACCCCAGARAACTGGTCAAAGCTGAGGAACTGGTTTATGCTGTGATCTGAGCACTCACACTCAGATATAACAGAGGAGGAGGAGAAGGAATTGTGTCTGATTCACACAACCTGCCAGATATCCCAAACAGGAGTTACTTATTCCCCCTTAACCATTTTGATTGTGCAAAGGCAGAAGTGTGCAGCAAATACACAAAAATAGACATAGCGTAACCTTTTGTTAGTTAACCAGAACTGTTTGTCTCCAAGGAACCCTTGCTTCTGTTCAGAAGGTTGGTTGGAACTCCAAGAGAGAAGTTAATTGTGTAACAAAGGGAACTGATGTCTTTGGAGGTTTAATTTGGAGYGGATGAAGCCAGTGAGCCAGAGGGATTGTCAGGAGAAAATGGGTGGTGTTGTGATTAAAGCAGTTGGATGCTTCTGCTGGATAATTGAATTCTGGTCTTGCCTCCATAGCAGAGTTGCTGTGTGATATTAAGCAAATAGTTTTTCCTAGATGGTCATTAATTGGGTGTTTCATTCTGGTGCCTGATGGGAGAGATCTGAGGTGTGATTTGCTTGAGGGCTCTGCTTTTCTGCGATTTCAGAAGCTTGCATAACACTACATATTTTGAAAAATCAGATTCTGTTAGTTTCAAATAGACCAAAAATTAATCAGAATTTAAAGTGCCATCTGTTACAATAACAATTAATRTGATAAGAAAATCGATGAAGAAATKMATTCCTTCTTTAGAGCAGAACTTTAACTTTTTGAAGAAAATAGTACATTGGGTATCTGCTGGGAATGGTGTGTAGGAGACTTGGTGTTGAGCGAGCATTAAGTGTCCTACGCTTTGGGGAAGAAGATCTTTTGGGACAACATTGTAGGGTTTGGGATTGCAGAGTAAACCAGTTTAKGCTCAGCACTGTCCTTAACTGATGTTCTTAACTCACATGCTTGACTTTTCCATCAGAAAGTGCTTTTCAGTTGTGAGCTGATACACAAATTTAATTTCAAACCAAACAACTCAAGGTTAACTGAAGTGCGGTGCCATCAGTGGAGAGGGAAACAAGATCCTCCTTCCCCACAAAGCTGCAAAAAAACTCACAGCCGTGAAAATCCATCATGCCTGGTGCAGATGAGGCCAGAATACTTGGCAGAGGCTGTTTTCAGCAGGTTTTTGGTCTCAGTTCAGTGAGTTCCTGGCTGAACCCTGCTGATGTGGCCTCTTAGTCGGGCACCTGAGCCCCAGCGTGGCTTTGTGCTCGCAGCAGGGYGTTGCTGCGGGAGCACGGGAAGCTCTGAAAGCACGTGGCATCCCCTTTATCCCATCTTCGTGTGCCACCAGGCAGCTGGCAGCGAGCCCACAGGGCAATTGTGTGGGAGGCAAGGGTGGCCAGGCCATGGCATTTGCTCTCAGAAGCCGCACGGATTTAGCCACGGGCTTTATTGGAACTTTTGGAGCTATTTATGCTGGGCAGCTGTTTAAGCACGGTGCTGAGGGGAAGCCAAGCTGCTCTCACAAGCGAGGCTCACRGTGGAATCCACGTGTGGCTTTGCAGTGATTTTGTATAGCCAGGCCTCACACTCAGGAGGGCACTTTGCAGCCCCTTCCCCCTCCTCTCCAGTTTGTCAATCCTGTATCTCTCGAACCTGTTCTTAAACCTTCCCACCATACCCTCTCCAAAAGATGCAAACTTACCCCATCACACTACAGTCCTTATTTTAACCTCTTTTCTCCCTTGATGTCACATTAAAACTGATCTTACTGAAGTGTTTTTGTAGCTTCTTGCAATTAGTTCTAGATCTGCTTTTTGTAGCAGCCTTTTGTATCTGTGGCTTCTGGCAGTTTTGTCCTTGGTCATTGTTCTGGGGAGGATCTGCAGCCCTGACTGCTTTGAACTTTCTTCATAGAACTTGGTTTTCAGATCGCTTAATTTTTTTTTCTAGTGCTTTCCTGATATGTTGCTAATTGATACAGGGCATCCCAAAAAGGGCAGCTTATTGTAGAGGAGAGTTACAAACCTTGATAACAGCAGGAGTATTTTATTTGAAGATTCTGCTCCTTTTCATGCATTTGTCAGTTTTAATAAAGGGTGATACTGACCTATTGTAGCTTCTAAGTGCATTTTCACAGAGCCTCTGCACCTGCTTTGTACTGCAGATTTTTCCTGTTTATGTTGATTTGCACTTGGCCCTGGTGAAATGCACCTCAATCCATCATTATAATTTGGATTAAGTGGAAAAACAGTTGGAAGGCTGTCTGTTCCATGCTGGCAGTCAGTCTGAGTGTGGTGTGAGGTCTGGTGATCCTGCCCTGTTCTGCCAAGCAGGTTACCACTGAAAACCCAGAGTGATGCTGACCCTGGGGCACAGATGAATCACTCCTGATTCAAGGCTCCATTTTCATGTCAAACCATTGATGGCCACCCACAGTAAAGTTATTTGACCTGTTTGCCTTTCCCTGTTGGCTTAATCTAAGTGATGCATTGACAATGTGCCTTAAATATCATATGAAAGTGTCAGAATTCCTATGAAAGTCAGAATGGACAAGGTCTATTGCCAAGTCCCATCCATAGGGCCTTCTGCCTCATTGGAGAAATCAGATTGATGTGCTAAAACTTGTTGTTGCCAAATTCACATTGGCTGCTACTCATCACCTTCTCCGCTCCTACATGCCTACAAATTGTCTGTGTTCCCATTTTTTCTTAAAATTGAAATTAAATRGATGGGTATGTAATGCCTGGCTGTTCTTTCTACTCCTTCTCTGAACATATTTGCCTCTCTTCGGCTTTTTTTTTCCTGCCTTCTTTCCTTCGGGCTGTGTGCTGAAAAGACACACAGGCAGGAGAAACAAGATTCCAAGGCTTTAAGGAATCAGCTCTTTCTTTACAGGAATGTGACAAAGCACTAAGCTTTTCTGTTCCTTGGGCAACTGGAAACAGCAGTCAGGGGCAGAGGAAGACACTGTGGTCAGTGTCTATCAATGAGAAATGGAAGGAGAATAAAATCATAAATGTGTTAATTAAAACATGTTTTATTCATGGTCTTGATGTTCCCAAGCAAAGAATTTTTATTTTTAGTTAAGAAGACACTGCTTTGAATTTGTGATATGAGATCTCTRGCTGTTCAGAAAAGTTGTTGCCATTAGAATCATGGAATGGTTTGAATTGGATGGGACYTTAAGGATCATTGAGTTCCAAAGCCCCTGCCRTGGGCAGGGATGCCACCCACTAGATCAAGTTGCTCAGRGCCCCATGCAGTCTGGCCTTGGCCAGTTCCAGGAATGGGACATCCACAGCTTCTCTGGGAAAGCTTTCTCTGTGTTCAAGAAGTTCATGCTCACTCCAGCATTTACCCTGTTTTTGGGCCATCTAATCCCTGGCTGCCTCACTTGTACCATGTTAATCYCTGGGAATGTTATTGTATGGAAGGCACTCTATCTTCTGCCAAAGAGGCAAAAAAATTATATGTTAAAAAAACGAGATTTTTAGAGCTCTCAATCAATTACCTTTCATTGCATCAACACTGCTCTAATTCTAGGAAAAACCATCCGACTTGTGCCAAGGTGACAAATTGTAGTGCTCATGTGAAAGTGCCTGCTGCTGTTATTCATGTATATGGCACAGGAGTTCTCAGGATTGTGTAGAGAAAACACAACAACTCTAAAGCTACTTGGGCTTCTATGAATCCTTTGGGGATTGTGTGGTGAATAACACTTTTTTCTTTCTTTCTCCCTTTACCTCCTCTTCTGCAGTTTCAGCTTCTTGCCTCAGCATTATTTAAGTCTGGCTCGGATTTCACGACTCTTGGTGAGTATTGTGTGTCAGAAGAATTACATGATGTTCCTTTTGATAATTGCTCTTAGTTTCTACTGGTTTTTATATCAAATGTTATAGTTCCTATCAACATTGYAGGCTCTTTTCAATATGCAAAGTGCCACTACCCAGACATTTGAGAGGTTATTTWTAATGACCAGTGTCCAATGCCTCAAGCCCATATTTAAAACATYTGTCAACATCAGTGGTTTTAAACCAATGCCTCCCGGGATCATTTTGTGTCTCTTATTACATCTGATCCTTCGCTGTTACCCAAGTAAACAGAAGCTTTGGTCAGAATAAAGCACCTCCTGTCATGTCACTTTGGAATCTCACAGCATGGCTACGGCTCTGTTTGCTGTGATAACTGCAATTCCTGGAGTAGTTTGGTTCGCTCTGTTCTCTGCAGAACGAGTTCTTTGGGCAGAGTGTCAAGAGCGAAGAAAACAGTGGCGTGAAGGGCTGGAAACAGGAGGGCTGAGCCAAAGCCATGATTTGTTTCACTGCTCTGTCCAGTTAACTCTTTAGGAGATCYCAGAGGGTCATCCCGGGTGAGCTGTAAGAGGGCTACAGAGATAAATTACATCCTTGTAGTGCTGGGGTGTCCTCAAGTCACTGCGCTCTTGTTAAGAGAATGGATGACTTCAGTTTCTGATGGAGGTATAATTCTCAATCCAAGAAATTGAGGGAAAGAGAAAGCCCACTGTACTTCTGCCCTGCTGGATGAGGAAGCTCTGCTGAGTTCCTGTGGTTTGGAAGACATTGGGTTGACCCTGTAAGATTAATTTTTTTTAAARAAAGAAAAACCAAGTTTCAGAAAAGTTGGATTTTTCATAGATTTATAGAATAGTTTGGGCTGAAAGGGACCTTCAAAAATCATTTCATTCCAACCCTCTCTGCCATGGGCAGGGACACCTTCTACTATCCCAGGTTGCTCCAAGCCCCATCCAACCTGGCCTTGAACACGTCCAGGCATGGAGCATCCACAGGTTCTCTGAGCAATCTGTACTAGTGCTTACCCACCCTCAAAACTTTCCCCGAGTTTTAAGCATTTAAAAAGATGAATTAGTTTTTGACTCAGTGCAGTATTTTATCCAGATTTTGGCTTTACAGATAGGAGGACATGTACGTCAAGAGGTGCTTTGAAAATAAAACAAAAACCCCAGCCCTCCTTGATTTGATTAACTTGGTTGACTTTGATTAACTGAAGAGTGAGTTCACTGAATTAAAAAGCATTCCTTTGAGATAGCAGCAATGGAAGTAATCCAAAGTGGAGGAAATTGTTGTGTGCCTGCYCTATTGTTCTTGCTGATGGTTTTAGTGCAGGGTTTGGATAAACAATGCAAACCAAACCCTGTCGTGCTGGGAGTAAGCATTTCAGAAACTGGTTTGCAAAGCTCCCCTGTGCCAAGATGCAGCCAGGTGCAAGTCCAGTGAGTAAATACCAACTCTGAGTTGGGACTCSTGCTGTCAGCAGAGCTTGTCTCCAGGAAAACTTCAAGCAATCCAAGGAGCAGTTCTGGTTATGGCAGTGAAGATAATGAAGAAAGCCCAAGGACAGAYGAAATGAGGCACCAAATAAAAATAGCTACATGGATTTTGGTTTTTTTGGGACATCAGAGCCATCCCCTGAGAACTCTTGCTTTCCCYGTTTCTTCAGTGCTGTCAATGAGCTTGACAGGAGTTTGTTTATTACTTTTTATGGCATTTTGATGGCAGTGCTGATTTAGGGTGACATCATCTCTCTATATGTGCTCGCAGTAGTGGGACATAGAGCTGGCAGCCTTGTTAGTGGAAGCAGAAGTAGCAAAATGTTAACATTTATCCCAAATGGACAGTTCCACAGCTAAACTGAGTATTTGGGGTTGTGAGGACTGATTTGTTTTCCCCTTTCCTTCCTCCCCCAGGATTTTCAGACGTTGACCACACGTATGCCCAGAGAACTCAGCTCTTTGACACATTAGTCAACTTCTTCCCGGACAACATGACCCCTCCTAAAGGCAACCTGGTGGACCTCATCACGCTGTAACAGAGCAATCACTGGACAYGTGGAAGAGGGGAAAAGCATCCATTTTCAGTATTTTAATTTTTTTACTGCATTGATTGACTGCTGGGATGAAGTTAATATAGTAACCCCTAGGTGTTTGAAAGGGGTTATATACTTGTATGGTGAATCCCTGGAGCTTTTCCCTTGGAGTAGGTTAATAAAATGTAACTGACGTACTTCTGACTAAATATATATATATTTTTTCTGACTTTGGATTTTGAGTTAGCAAATGTAAGATGAAAAGGTGGGGGGAAAAGAAAAAGAAATAAAACCCAGTCATGCAGTGATCTTTTTGCCTATGGGGGAAAATTTGAGATTTGTGAGTTGTCTGGGATTAAATATGATGGGTTTTATTTTGGGTTTCCTGAGTAAGTGGGGGAAGAGATTTTTCTTTCCTCATTTGTAGCTAGTCATGATGTATTGCTTCATCCTACAACTCCATCCTCAGCGCTGAATAACTTGGTGGCAGGACACTGGCACATGTTGAGGTGATGTCATTTGTGTCCTGACTCTCGTACTCGCGGTGTGTTGTGGGAATKCGAGCGCGTGTTCCAAACCATCTGTCTCCTCGTCCCAGAGTCGTGCTGACAGTAGTGTCTAATTGCATCTGAGACTCCATTTAAACTGACTACCTRCATCCCTGTCTCCTGTTCTCTGGAGCCTTCCACTTAAACCTGGCAGGCGAGAGGGAACCTCAGAGATACCGCTGGAAAACGGGAGCGCGGTCTCTGTCCGCAAGAGCCCCTTTTCAGGGACTGATCTCTTTGCTGCTCTGCTCTTCCACTGAGAAACCCTGCGGGTCCTCGGCGAGCCAGGCAGAACTGGGTCTTCCACCACACACATCCCCAACCTCTGCAACCTGACCCTGGGTTGGGTGTAGGATTTCTGAAGCAGATTGTCTTCGTTTCCACGTGCTTCTGTGTGCGTTTGTCCACGTGTCCGTGTACAGGGYGTTGCTCTCAACAGCTTGTCTCCTTCCTGTGTAGTGCAGCTCCCTTGTCAATGCATTTTAGACCTAGATCTGAATGTGAGGGAGGCCTTTTTAGCTTAAATCTCTTTGAAAATGAGCTGATGCATATGTATAGAAAATATATTCTTCCTCTTGCTGAAAGCCTTCTTTATAAACASCGTAAGGGCTTGGTGCTGCACTGTGAAGTGGAATGAAGGACACGCATACCCAGCGTTAGAAACTCTGCATTTGGTGTCYGTGAGCATTCAGTACACACTGGCAGATGTAAATATTTATATGAAACTGCAAAACTTTCTGTCCAGCAGTGTTCATGCCAGTTGGGTATCATTGCTGCACCCGCTGTGGCTCCTGTTGAACTTGGTGGAAGTCCTGTGTGTGCAAAGATGATTTGGACTCTTGAAATAAAGAGTTAGTCAAGTGTCTTTTTCAGAGCTCGAGTGTCTGCTTGCTTTGATTGTATTGCCTCTTTATCATGTTCTTTGTGTGACTTTTGTAGTCCTGGTACATTAGAAATAAATTTTAAAAACCTCATACTAGTGTTTAATCACTTAGAAAGGAACAGTATGTCAGAGGCCAGGCTTGTCTTCAGGGAGGACTGTACAGATGAAGTGTTTTTAACCTGTCACTTGAGACTGTTCAGACATTGTGCACTTCAGTGGTTGGCAAATCAGTTGTCTGGGGAAGAATCCACTCGGTTTGGGAAATGAAATCTGATGGAATTGTTTCTTTGGAACATGGCAGGGTTTTTTCCTATTGATATGGAAAGTTATACATCACTGCTGAGCTTTGTGGTGTGCTACCTGTGCTGAGGCTTTGTTAATTAATGTRGAGTTTATACAGTATAATTGTAGATACTGGGGGAATGTTCCAGCTAAGRTGTTGCTTCCATTGAGATTGAATCGAGCACTTTCAATGCAACCAACCAAAATCTTCAACCCTCTAGTACTTAAATTTAGTGCTGCTGTGCTCCCTTAGCACTTGATCTCATTGCTTTGTATCCTCAGCTTCACTCCATGATTCCAGGCTCTTTGTGACAGTTCTCTGATTAACCAAGCTCTTCATAACTGTTTTGTGTCCACCTTGGATGACTAAAAGAACCCAAAAGATAGACCTTGATGGGAGAGCCCTGGCTGGCAGGCAGGAGAAGTTCAGGAGCRCCCCGAGCTGTGAATGGTGCTGCTGGTGAGAGTGCATCGTGTCAGGTCTGATTTGTGTGACAGGAATTCGATCCAAACTCATTGTCCTCTGYGCCGGGGGTGCTCACAGAGCCTGGCAGCCTCAGCTCTGTGTTTTGTAGCATCGTGCAAATCGATGATTTGTCTGAGCGTGGGGAACGTTGCTTCTGCAGGACTGACAGTCCCAGCTAACGAGAGCACTTCAGGATGATCAAATATTGACCTGCCTTTGTCCTGAGCAGATCGATGCCGCTCGCACCAGCACAGTTCATGGATTACAGCTGCTGATTAACCAGCAGAAACTTTGCTCAGCTCTGCAGTATTTGTTGAGCAGCAGAGGCACCATGTGGCCAGAGAGGTTAATCCAAAGGGAAGGCTTCTTGTGGCTTTGCCAAGGTTCTTTCTTTTTTGCTGTGTCCTTAAAGCAAGGAGTCAAAATTATTTCTTTGCATTGGTGTATGCTACACTACCTGCTTTAAAATCTAATCCAAAATTCCGAGCAGTGAAGTATAAATTTCCTTTCAAASTCAGCCAGTTGTTGTCAGGCAGTGACACTGGCAGTTTGAATTTCATTGCATGCTGATCTTTAAAGACACTGGTGATATTCCAGGAAAGCATTAGWTGTGCTCACTACAAAAAGCCCGAAATACAAACAGAAAAGAAACCCATTGGATCTGAAAACAGCCACCTGAAAATGTTTCACAGCCCAGTGCATGCGAGGTTATAAATATCCAAGCTGTGCGTGAGAAGTCTTCGAACCTCACCATCGTTGCTTGCAGGCTGTGTCTGAAGCTGCTCTTTAGCTTAGACAAGACAAACATACTCTATTTGCCTTTAGTTTATAAGGTGACTTTGTGTGTGAACTTGACACCACATAATCTTTGCACTACAGTGAATAGTTTTATCTGTAAATTCTGTGTTAACTTGTAAATAAGATATTGCGAAGGAAAGCGTAGTTCCTTGTTGGAGAGGGACTCATTCATCCTGATTGGGGTCTTTAAAGCCAAAGTTACAAGGTTTTGGTATGTCTTTTAAAGCTAGAGGAGGTCAGGGTGGGGTAAACTTGSTATAGGCATCCAACCTTCAGTCTTGGGTTAGCTTTTTAAAAAYATCCTTTGAAATCCCTGTGTTTGGGTCTTCACTGACACTGACTCTTAAAATATCCTTCAGTAGATCATCTCCTTGGAAAACAAATTGTTCTTTATATTGTTCCTGTCAAGTGACACATTTTCTTAGAGAAATGAAACCCTTCAGAATTAACGTTTTGGTTGCTTGGATTAGGTAGAATTAAGTGAGTTTTTAAATGTTTGTCTTACACAACCTTTCATAGTAGTCATGAGGCAGAACTTGTTTAGAGTTCTCTCAAAATTACTTCTCCAGGCACGTTCTGCTCTTGCAGTGTGTTTCAAAATGTTGTCATGTGGCAGAAGGACTTTGTTATATGTTGTTAAATGGGATTATAGCCACCTCTCTGCCCTTTTATTTTGAGGATCCCGTCAGCTAGTATTGGTCCTGGGAAGGCCTGAAGGATGATGCAAAATATTCATTGAAATTAATTGCAGTTTTTATTTTCTGGCTGTTTTAAAGGTATTTGTGATGTGTTTATTCCTATAATCTCTTCCTTCTGCTGAGTATAATGAGGAAGAGAACTTTGTCTTGGAAAAGTTCAGTTTGCCCTTTCCYTAGATGGCATCTTGCATGGGTAGTTAAGGTAGTCATACCCAGTTGTGTAAATAAACCTCTGGAATTTGGTTTTTGTTTACCTGGGATAGCTCTGGGTATACACAGGTACAGGGCTGGCTCAGGGATCAGGCTGGAGCTTCCTACCAGAGCTGCAGTTAACCAAATCTTCCTCTTACTGTGGAAAACCAGTCTGRAAACACCCACTTGTCAAAGATTTTCTGAGTCATTGCCTGGGGCAGTGGCAATGAGAGTGAAATTAGAAATTTTCCTAAAGAGCAAAGAAAAGCTTCCCTTTGTGAATTSTCCTGGAGCGATACAGTTAAATGAAATTGCTGAAACTTTTTGGTCATTGATTATAATTATTCAGCCTGAAARTTTAATGATTTCATAATTTAAGATTTAGTCTGAGGAGTCAGTAAGCAAATGAACCAGACCCACCTGTTCCCAGGAGGGTGGCAGAGGTGTGCAGCTGGTGGCCAGGGATTGCCACAGCTCATCTGTGTGTTTCTTTAACTGGCAGCCACATGTGTCCAGGACTCCATTAGCTATTTCTTCTTCCAGAAGAAACTCCTTCCAAAGCCAARTAATGACTCTGGAAGAGTGTTTTCCATAGGGCTTTGTGGAACAGCTGTTTGCTGAACCATTTTCCTGATGCGTGCACATTTTTCGAAGGGAGTTTCCTTTGTCCCAAAGWCGTGTGCTGATCTGGCCCTGCTGTGCCAACCTGCACTGGTTAGTGACAGATTCAGAGGAGTGTCCTGAGGAACACTGCAAACCTGTTTGCTGCTCTTACTGTGAGAAAGATGGGTATTAATGCTGCTWGTTTCAAATGCAGGGGGTGGTAGGTACCTGTAACACAAATACTATTAGCACTYTTGCTGCCTCCTGCATTGCAGAATCAAGAAATAAATACTTTTGTAGAGCTTATTGAGTGAAYTTTAAGTTTGAATAACTTCTGTACAACCACCCATCCCTGTACAGGCAGTAGCTCTGCTGATGTAATGCTGTGCCACTTCTGGGGAAAATGGCAAGAATTATTAGGTAACATTTCCATTTGGTCCCTTTGTTTTTAAAAGTGGAAAAATGTCTTGTGAAACCTCGAGTCCCCGTGTATGCTTTGAATTTTAGCTTATTAGTTGGCTCAGAGTTAAGGAATGTTTGGCTATTGTCAAGTGAAGTCCTGACAGTAAAAGCAGTTCATGTATGTCTCTGGAAGTGCTTGTGTTGTTTTATAGCTGTACTTATTACCGAAACAGAGGTGGACCCAGTTAAAAAATTAAAATTATTGGTGTTTTGGTTTAGGGGAAAGATTATAGAAGCACTGAGCTTGGCCTATTTTAATAAGTACATGTGTTAATTTGAAGATGGGTCTTATTTTGTGAGAAGAGAGTTTAAGAACAACCATATGACTTGTTCTTGATATAGATTGCTAGTAGTATATAAGCTGTAAATACTGTTGAAATGTAAATGTGCTGTCAGAAGCTTGTTAGTGTATCTAAATGCCTGTGGGAATGGGAGATCTGATTATACCCTGTCATGGAAAAGGTTATTCTGGAGATTATTCAAGTTGTGGTAATGGCTTATAGGCAAAATCCCTCTTTTACTGAAAGCTTCTGTTATAATGAAAAGTTGGAGTGGAAAAAGTAGGTTTACTGTACTGGAACCAGGATAAGAGTCCATGGCTCAGCGCTTGGATAAATTGACTCCAGATGCTTTTGTCTGTAGGCAATGGATCCAAACGCGGTTTTGGAGTGGAAGCCAGTTAATGACCTGCTTATTGCTGCTGGAGAGTCCCACAGGAGAGCCTCACAGGGGGTGCCAGCAGGTATCCCTTTGGCTTTCCTGGCAGAGGTCACAGAGCTGGCTGGAGTTTGGGATTATCCACGTGTGCTTCAATTATATCCCTAAACCTCCGAGGAGGATGCCGATGGCTGCGTGTAATTCCAGCTGTAGGGCTTAGGTGGGGAGCTCTGCAGGGCAGCATCTTCCCCAAACACAGATCCTGAGGAGAATTCACTGCTGCTGTCTGCTTTGCTTTCATGGGCTCAGTTTGATAGGGATGAACTCCAGATATTGCTGTGACCCAAATTCAGTGCTCTGCTTCCAACAGAGCTGCTGTCAGTGCATCACCTTGGTACCCTGAAATCTTAATTTATACTTGGTGCAGACACAGCTCCACGTTGCCYTGGCTTTCAGCTGTTTGCTGTAAGTCAGCACAGCTTTTACTGATGACCTGGAGAGTGTGAGTGCTGTCAGAACTCAGTCGACTGTTCAGCTCCAGCGCAGCATCACAGTTCATTCCTGGAAACAGGGATGTGAGTGAACAGCTCAAAACTGGCTCAGTCAGGTTTGATTTTTGGGTTTGCTACTAATTTAAAAGGAAAGTCTTATCACTAGCACCCCTTGGTTATTTCCCCATTTATTCTGACTTTTCTTTTCCTGTGTGACTGTTCACTGCTGTTAAAATGCCTTCAGACTTCCGTGATTTTAATGGGTACCTCCAGAAGAGTTAAAGGTTAGAGCTGTGTAGTGGTTATTGAGGCATCAGTTTCTCCACATCAAACTCCAGTTGC